GTCAAGCCCTCCCTACTATGAGGGCACTGCAGTGGTCGGGAACTATTCCAACCACACTTCCCCACCGCCTACGTGTACCGAGGGATCCTCACACCGATTGACCCTAACTGAAGTCTCAGGACAGGGTACATGTCTAGGGAAAATTCCTCCCTCTCATACCCTCCTCTGCAACTCTACCCAGACCTTGGGCCCAGGAGCATACTATTTGGCCGCCCCTAATGGTACTTACTGGGCGTGCAGCACAGGTCTGACTCCCTGTGTATCTACCGCCGTTATGAACATGTCCCGGGACTACTGTGTCCTAGTCCAGCTATGGCGGAGAATTACTTATCATACCTCAGAATATTTTGCCAGCCAGTTCGAAGAAAGATCCCAACTTCGAATTAGGAGGGAGCCGGTCACATTAACGCTGGCCCTCATATTGGGGGTTGGGGGAATAGTGGCCGGGATAGGCACTGGTGCTAAGGCTCTCTCAGAAACCACCCAGTACCACCAACTGCAGACAGCCATGCAGTCGGACATTAGAATCCTTGAGGAATCGGTAACGGCCCTCGAGAAGTCACTCAAGTCTCTGTCTGAAGTAGTCTTGCAGAATAGGAGAGGTCTGGACTTATTGTTCCTTAAGGAAGGGGGATTATGCGTAGCTCTAAAGGAAGAATGTTGCTTTTACACCGACCACACTAGAATCGTGAGAGACAACATGGCCAAGCTGAGGCAGAGATTAGATCGGAGGCAGAAATTCTTAGATGCCCAACAGGGTTGGTTTGAGGGCTGGTTCAATAGGTCACCCTGGTCTACTACCCTAATTTCTGCCATAACAGGGCCCATAATGGTTCTCATTCTCATTCTGATATTGGGGCCCTGCCTTCTTAACCGTTTAACCCAGTTCGTGAAGGATAGGTTCTCTGTCATACATGCAATGGTTTTAACACAACAGTATCAACAACTTAAACAGATGGATCCAGGGTTGACTAAACCACTTGAATGAAGGATTCCATTCAGTCACAAGAGAAATGTGGGAATGAAAGACCCCCTCCCGACATAGCCCACCAGGAACTGTCTGAGTTCACGCTAAGGTCGAGGGCCCCTGGCGCCTCGAGGGCTTGACAAACAGGATATTAATGGTCGGCCATCCGAAACTGGGGAGTTAAAACTGGGGAGTTTCCCATCCACAATGTGCCCGAGATGAAAGCTAAGTCAGCCACCTGCGACTTCCTTGTATTCAAGCCAGGTGGCCCCAGTCTAACCTCTCGCCTCATTAAATTTGACCAATGGAAATCCTGTGACCATGCATCCGCTTCTGTACCCACGCTTTTCGCTATATAAAGCATCCCCGTTCCCCATCTAGGCGCGCTTGGTTCCCGAGACCAAGACGCCCGGGTACCCGTATGTGTGATCAATAAAACCTCTTGCTGATTGCATCCATACGTGTGGCCTCGCTGATCCTTGGGGGGGTCTCTCAGATTGAAAGTATCCCAGGTACGGGGGTCTTTCACAGCTAATGCTGTGCAGAATAACAAGCAGCCTTCCTGCCCCCTGACTCCCTGCACTGAGGGGCTGTGACCTGAAGTGGAAGGTAAGATAAACCCTTTCTGCCCCTGGCTTGCCTGGGCCAGAGATTTTCCTCAGGGCAGGAGAGGAAACTGTAACAATAACCTCTGTGCTTTATTGAGTGGGCCACACCTTCTTTGAAGTAAAAAAATAACTAAATACATCTCAGGCTGTTGTGTCACAGGGGCCTAATCCTACCCGTATGAACTCACAGAAGGTACCCCACACCTTACCACAACCAGCTAACTATGATGCCTATCACCCCCCGCCCCCACTACAGGGAGCACTAAACGCGGAATGGCTACTGCAGTCACAAGAGAAATGGTGGTCATCCTGCTTGACTGGCTGGGATTTCTCAGATTTGTATCATCTGTGACAGCTCGTCTTCGGTGCAAACCTCACGTGTTTGGAGTCGCCAAGGAGACACAGTCCTGGCTGCCTATGTGGTATAATATGAAGGTGTTTCCTGAGATGTTTCATGGGAAAAGAGGACTCACCTGAATGTGGGTGGGGACATTGCACAGGCTAGGGTCCCAGACTGAATGAAAATCCTTCAACAAGAGGGTAAAGTACTCAGGGATTGAACGATTCCAGTCTTCTGTGAGGCCGTCCTTACATCCAGACGCTTTCCTGAGGACCACTCTTGTACCAGATGCCTTCTACGGGACCTTCTTGTTGATGGCCACTAACGATGACACCCCAGACACCTAAGGATGAAAGCAGTCCATCCCTTGCCTGCTCCAGCCTCAGACATCAAGGTCTTCAAGAGACGCTGCCTCCCAAACCGATTGCCTATGTAGAGGCAATGGAATTTCTCCTCCGTCCTTTAGAGGCTTTCTGAGATTAACTGACAATAGACAGATGAGTAATTGAAAAGGCCGTTGTAGGACAGCAATTTCCCTGGTGCCCAAGACATGGTAGCTTATATACTCTTCTTCATAGAAAGGGGGGACTTAGGGAGTATGGGCCACTTTGAGAAGTAAACAGTTTTTAGGACTTCTGAGTGAAGCCAGAGAACAGACTCTAGCCCAGGACAAAGTTCCTCTGGGGTCCTGAGGAATTAAGGGAAGGTGGCATGGACATTCACCCAAATCAAAGAGAACCTTGTGTAGATCAACTCTGCCTTTCACAGCTGCCTTCGGAAGAACGGGAGAGAGCTACCTGGGTGTGGTGAGGACCCTCAGCTTCCTGTCTTCCCCTCAGTGACTGATTTCCTGCTTGTTAGATGAGAACCATTGGGAGAGAGCTGAAGGGAACATATCTCATCTTGCAGAAACGATAAAAAAAGATACCAAAAGCAAGTCCATCTCTGTGAGGAAGAGGAAGGAGACGTTAAGAGTGCTCTCGGTACTGAGCCTTGCCAGTATCTTCTTAACTCACGAAGGCGCCACGGATTCACCTAGTCATTCTTGAGCTCCAGTACCTTTGTCGGGATTCTCACTGCCAGGCTGCCCTCTGCCCTCTGCCCACGGTTCCTGGCTTGATGGCATTCCTACAGCCCTTAGGGTCTCCTCCGTGCTCACCTCTTGTATCACAACTTTCGAGGAGAACAAGGTTCAATTTGGCTCACCTTGGAAGCTCTACCTTGGCATCAAGCAGTCCTGTTCTTTGAGGCTTTAGCAAGAATTTTGCATCGTGGTGAGTGCATGCCATGGAGCAGATATCTAACCTCATGAGCCGAGGCTAGGGACAAGAAGGGCAGGGGCGGAGCGCCCCACAGTCCCCTTCGATGTCATGCCCTCGATGTTCTGAGTCATCCCCCTAGATGCTACCTCCTAAAATCCCCACCATGTCCCCCTGGCACCGTGCTGTGACCACGATGTTGACATGTCTACCCTTGGGCACAGGGGGCGTTCACACAAACCACCCTACCGTTCAGCCTGCCACATGTCAGTCGTGGGACTGGAGCCAGACGGGAGTGGCAAAAGGAAATGCTCGTTTTCGGAGATGGCAGGAGAGGACCTTGAAAGGTGAGCCCCACTGTGAGAAACTGCCAAGTCGTTGCCGCGGGAGGCCGGTTTAATAAATTATAGCAGTGAGTCGGGAGGGTGATGTCGGATAAATGAAATATTTAACACCGTGTAGTAATCCCTCCAGTGATGCTAGAACATTCTCATTTGTTAATCTAAAGGACTCCCTGATGAGACAGCTGAGTGCTGGAACATGCTGGAAGCTGTTCTTTAAATCATGGCACTCCCTAATGCAGAAAGGGAGCCTTCATCCTTCTCCTCCCAGCGGTAGATGTAACCCTCAGCTGGCCTTTAGCAAGAAGTGGATTTAAACACACCTGCAAATTTCTCCTCTCCCCGTCCTCTCCTCTTCCCTCCTCTCCTCTCCTCTCCTTCCCTCCCCTTTCCTCCTCCCCTTCTCTATCCTCCTCTTCCTCTCCTCTCTTCTTCTCCTTTCTTCCCCTCCTCTCCTCTCCCTCCTCCCCTCCCTCCCCCTTCCCTTTCCCTCTCTCTACCCATTTCCCTTCAAGTCCAAAAGGCTGCAGGTGTATGGCCTCTGCTCCCATCCTGCCTTGTGTCCTGCAGAGTCACACAATAGATTCTCCAGCCTGGTGGCCTGTCACTTGTTGGCAAGGCACAGACCTGCTCAGACTTTGTCAATTCTCGAGTTTCTAATTAATGGCACAAAAGCCAAAAGAAATAGGAAACTAGTTTCAGAATTCTCAGTGCCATGCAAAATGGAGCCGTTACTTAAAGATAATTTGAGTGTCACTTCTCCATTTTATTTTACAATTAACCAGTATCACCTGGGTCCGAGGAGACAAAGACAATAGCTTCTGTGTCCTGTTCCTCTCCTCTGCTTCTGAGTCCTCCCTCAGTAGTTGCCCACTCCCTGAAGGACCAGATGGTCCGTATGTGACATGTAGGAGTGTGACTCCTGCACCTGCTCATAGTGATAGGTTCTTCTACACCACCATTTAGCCCCACCCTCCCATAGGAACAAACCCCCCAATTTAGAAAAGCAAAACAAAACCAAGCCAGGCGGTGGTAGTGCACGCCTTTAATCCCAGCACTCAGGAGGCAGAGGCAGGCGGATATCTGTGAGTTGGAGACCAAGCCTGGTCTACCGAGGGAGTTCCAGGACAGGCTCCAAAACAATACAGAGAAATCCTGTCTCGAAAAAAAACAAAAACAAAAACAAAAAACAAAACAAAACAAAACAAAAAAACACCAAGAGGCTAAGAGATGATAGGGGGCTAGTTCTTGGCATGAACAATCAGTTGCTTATAGCTTTTGAGCCATGGGCAGATTTGGGGTTATGCATTTAGGTTACGAAAACTGTCTAATTAGTCAGACCAAAGGATATGTCCCTCCCTGCCTGGACATGCAAGGGCTTTGTCTAGTGTCTCTGGTTGACAGAAGGAGAGGGTGCCAAGCAGACAGCCTGGGGTGGTGGCCAAGCAGCTATCAAAGGCTGGGCAGCGATCAGCTGCTCTGTTGGCAGGACTGCCCCGTCTCATTGAAGCCTTCAGAGGCCAAAGGGTGTATTGATTTTTTCGGTCGTGTTCTGAACTGTTTGCGTTAGACCGGGATCTGACTGGAGTTGCATTATCCTGTTTAGCAGAGCTGTTGGAAACAGCCGTTTTGAAGTGCTCCTCTGTAATGCCCGTGATGGCAAGCCACTGACCTGCCCCAGGGCCAGCTGGACAGGAAGTCCTCCGCAGGCGCTTAGTTGCTTAGTCACCATGCTTTCTGTTTGTACATGTGTTTGCCCTGGAAACACGGGCCACAAGAGAGATCTGATGTGGGCTTCTGAAGTATTTTTATTTCTGGGGTTCAGCTTCTCTCCCCGGCTCATTCTGTGACGTGGTAGTGCTCCTCTGGGAGAGAAGGTATGGTTCCTGTTTCCGTGGTGCCCAGACCCTGCTTCTCCCGTCCCCTCTTTGCCTGACCCTGACCTCCTGCGGTGGCCTTGGTCCCTACCCCGTGTTCCTTGGAGACCTTACTATTTCTACTCGCTGTCCTTTTCATGGCTTCCCCTTCATATATTGTCCAGTATTTGATCTCTTCCAACTGTAATGCAAAAATTAGTAGAAAACCATCAGGGGCCCCAAAGGAAACCATGCTTGAAACAGAGTTGGCCTTCTGTGTCTGTGGGTTTCTTTGTTTGTTCAATCTGATATTTAATCAAAATTCAGGAGAGAGCAAGGGGAGAATTAGAGCTCATTAATTTTCACCTGTTTTCCGGGGGGGATTCTTTTCTAATGTTCTGTTATTTTTATTTACGTGGTTATGTCTGTGTGAATGAATGTATGTCACCCTGCTTCATTATCCCCGGAGCCTGGAAGAGGGCATTGGACCCCTGGAACTGGATTTACAGGAGGTTGCAAGCACTGGGAGCCTCTGCAGGGGGTAATCTAACCCCTGTACCCTTGGGTTTTGTGTGCACAGACTCAATCATCCCTGCATGGGAAACCCTTGGAGAAAGGGAAGGGAATGAACGAGATAAGAAAACAACAGGAAGACATGCTATGGGAGACTGAAAATGTCACAGCAAACCCATCATTTTGTAAAACTGATAAAAAAAAACCTACATGTGTACTGAACAGGTGTCCATGTTTTCATGCCGTGATTCCCTAAACGATGTAGAGTACAGGAGTCTCTAGGAACCAAGGAAAACACAAACAAAGAGGCTGGCTTCCTGTGCATACACACATGTGTGTGGAGACCAGGGGCTGGCTTCCCACGCATGTATACATGCATGTGGAGGCCAGGGGTTGGTTTCCCTTGTATGTATGCATGTGTGTGGAAGCCAGGGGCTGGTTTCCCTTGTATGTACCCATGCATGTGGAGGCCAGGGGCTGGCTTGAGTGTCTTCCTTAGTTACTCTTCACTGAAGCTAGAGCTCTCCAATTCAGCCAGACTGGCCAGCCAGCCACAGGGATCCTCCTGCCTCTGCATCCTCAGCACTGGGATTATAGGTGTGGCGCGTGTCTCCATGGCTTTGTAAACGTGACTTCCGGGAGACTGAACTCAGGCTCTCACGCTTGTACAGCAGGCTCTTTACCAACGGAGCTATTTCCCCAGCCCCAGGGCTCAAGTCTCTTGAATACAGCCTGTTGTCTCGCAACACCCTCACCCCAACACTGAAGGACCCAGAGGTCCGGGCTTCCTTTGAAGATGATCTTTGATGGTCCTTTTTCTGCTGGAAGAGGTTTAGGACAGGGGATGGGATGCGGGCCGGGCAGCCATAATTCTACCACTCGGCCATTCAACTAACAAGACCACCCTTCACAGACACATCAACACAACATCCCCATAAAGACAGTCACTCAGTCAAGACTCCTTTTAGGTGATTACAGGCTGTGTCAAGTTGACAGTTAGTGCTAGCTAGGACAGTGCCTTGGCTGCCATTTTGGCTTTTGAGTCAGTACTTTGTAAAGTATTGCGGACTCCTCCATGACCGTAAGGTGCAGCGGCTGCCCCATACCCAGCAGAACTGTTCCGTGGACACAGGCATTGGAAATAGGGAGTCTAGCTTCATGACCTGAAGGGATGGCAAGGCAGAGTGGGGGCATTGGTGTGAATGGCTTTGAGGGGGGATGTGGTGGGGAGGACTCTGAGTAGGGACGTTGGTGGGGAGGACTCTGAGTGGGGATGTTGATGGGGAGGACTCTGAGTGGGGATGTTGGTGGGAGGACTCTGAGTAGGGACGTTGATGGGGAGGACTCTGAGTGGGGCATCTCTGGTGTTGGGCTTGATTCTGGTGCTGTAGGTTCTGGAGTCTCTACATAGACTTGATGCTCTCCATTCTGGGTCCAGAACAAAGGAACCACAGCTTTGTGGCTCACTGGAACTTCTGTACAAAGCAGGTGTCCTGACTCTGGACTGGTCAGGACCAGCCTCCTCTGTGTTTGCCCATCACTTCGTGTTAATTCAGCAAACAGCAGAGTCAGTAATCTCATGAAAGTCAGTGTTGGGGTTGGAGTGCCAGAAGTTCTAGCCCATTGTAGGTTGACCCTGTTACTTCTAAGCTGGTGACATCTGGTTAGGTTGGCAGCTACTAGCCCAGAAAAATCTCATTTTCCAGGGCCTAGAAACTAAAGAAGGAAGGAAGAGTTGGGGTGCCTACTAACCTCATCCAGGGAACTCCCTAGCAACCAAGGAAACTTGACCAGACTCACAACTTGAAGATTTTCTTGCCTCCCAAGGCTACCTCTGTGGGCAGCCTGGCAAACACAGACATTTGGACATACTCTAGAGTGTACTCCATTGACATCACAGCCCCCTTTCAACTGTCTTGATTATACACTAAAGCTTAATTCAGTTCTCTTGGGGTTAGCAGGTGACTCAGAGATGTTTTATTTGGGAGAAGGGAAATGCAGAGAACGTCTCACTTAAAGGTCACCAGCCCGCAGCTTCTGCTTCAGCCCTTCAAAACTCTCAGGAAGAGTACGTGCCAGGCTATAAGAAAGGGCTGTATCTGCAACGTGGTAAACCAGAACCAAAGGTCAGGCTCCGGCCAGAACGAGAGAAGGGTTTCCATGTACATGAGTGTAAAGGCAGGTAGTAGTCCCGTTCCAGTTGGACCTCGGGAATGGGCTCAGTGTATTTGCATCAATGGCGTTGGTTAGGTATCCATCAATATAAGAAAATGAATGACATGATTAACACAAGGAGGGAGGGATTCTTTATCTCGGCGTGGTAGATGGACCCATACCGTCATGCATCTGGTGAAGCAGCACGTCATGTTGGGAGTCCTTGATGGAGCAATGTCACAAGTCACAAACCAGGGAGTGAATAGGAGGAAGAGACCAGGGCCCCGGATCCCCCTCACAGGCCTGCCCCTAATAAATGCCCATGTGGTCCTACTCACAGGCTCTGTGCTTCCGAGTAGTACCACCCTGGTGACCAAGGCTTTAATCTTTGGGTAGCGTTCAACATCTAAACTACAGCGTCTGTCCTCCTGGCTGCTGTCCCTGTTCAGAAACTTGGGCACTTGTCACAGCCAGAACTTGTCATTCCATGGCTGCCTAAGTGTTACTTGTTGGCACAATACAATATTGTGTTCCTTGAAAGCTTACAGATCCTTCTGGTATCAGATCAAGTTGGATACTTCTGGGCTATCTAAAGGATAGTGCTGTACCCTGGAGGATGTAGGCCCTCAAATAAGGCACAATGAGGGGTGACAGGATCCAGAAAAGTCCCTGGTGGCAGTACAGGCTGAAGGCTGGCTGTTGCTTTTCGGGTTATCAGAGTTAACTGAGAGTCAGATGGTCAGGCATGGAAAAGCCCCTTTCAGAATTCAGGCAGAATATAGCAGACCTGGACACTTGTGACTGGGGAAGGGACCCTCATGCTGTTCTCAGACCCTGGACAGGGATACACAGCTGCACTGGACATAGCTTTGAACCTTTAGACGAGGGAGCCGGAATAAAGGGGAGATTCACAAACTAATTACAAGTAAGTTCAAACAGTGAATTTCATCCCAACAGTTTAATTAAGCTGATATTTTCTTTTTAAACAAAATCTCTAAAGCATTTTTAGAAAAACATTTATTATCAGTAGAATGGAAACGTCTCATTGCCTGTTGAAACGGGAGTAAAATGTCAAAGGGAGAAGCAGCTGGGAGAGAAGCAGCCTTGGGGTGAGAACGGGAGGGAGACAGGTGAGGAGGACCGGAGGAGATGAAAACCCTGTTGCTGAATTCATCCACCTGGGTTCTTCAGAGAGCAGAAGGGACGCTTGGGGAAGCCGGATACTCTACCCAGGACAAACCCGAGAAGGCAGCTTGCCCAGCATATGCAGGACAGGGCCCGGGTTTCAGAAGCTCAACACCTACTGCAGGTGTGAACTTGCTAGGGTCTTTCATCTGGAGAACATGGACAATGCTGCCACTCCAGATCGCCAAGGTGAGGGAGAGGGAATGGATATCTGTGAGATTTTAATACAGCCCCATGGTATTAATGAACACTCAATACATGTGCTCAAAGGAGGGGGAGGGAGTAACAGAGGGAGAGAGAGGGAAAAGAGGCAGGAAGGATACTAAACCAGGGAAGCTGGCATTTTGTCTCTAATAATACTCAACGACATGGTGGGGCATGGTGGAGTGGGACTTCTCTAGGTTGAAAGGTAGTCCCTAAGACGAAATATTGCTATTATAATACATCATTGCAATAATTTTTTTTTGGTTTTTCCAGACAGGTTTCTCTGTATTGTTTTGGAGGCTGTCCTGGAACTAGTTTTTGTAGACCAGGCTGGCCTCGAACTCACAGAGATCCGCCTGCCTCTGCCTCCCGATTGCTGGGATTAAAGGCGTGCGCCACCAACGCCCGGCTTCATTGTAATATTTTGAACTGCTAGGATCAGGAAAATCAAACCCAACAAGCATTTGGGTAGAAATTATAGGCTTCCTATAGAAGTCCAGAAACTAAAATAACCCCGGAGTATCACAGACCCCAGAGCCAGATAAAATACATTTCCCCATTTTGAAGGGAGGGACCCTGCTGTATCCTCTTTTTGCACAAAGACAACATGGGCACAGCCATTCTCAGGTGTGCGAAGCTCTGGAAGCAGGGCTAGGTGCTCTGTGCCTCTGAAAACTGCCGTGTGAGCTGGGTGCTGTGTGTGCACCTGAGATCTCAATACGAGAGAGACTGACAAAGGAGACCTAGGTGTTGGAGGTCATTCTGGCTGCATGATGACGATCTAAAGATGATCTAAAGACTCTAGGGGTGAGGATGTCACACAGTGGTAGAGCACTGTCTGGCATGTGGGAGGAGCCAGTTGGCACCAGGAGGAGGAGGAGGGGACAGCTTTAGGTGTCAACCCTCACCAAGCGGACAGTTTTGGCACGAGAGGAACCAAGATCCATACCTCAACATACATCTTG